TTCATGATCCTTCGAGAAACTCCAGCGCACATGCTCCCAGAATCGCGTGACTTCTACTGTCGTAACAGTACACATCGATTGTAGAAGGACAGTTTACAATTTTGGTTTGAAGAAGACTATAACTTTGATCGAGACTCAGAAGAACATAACATTTATTCATCAGACAGTGGCGAGGTCATGGAAGGGGGATGGCGGCAATCAGTCTAAATATTTCTACTAAAAACTACAGCACTCAAAATACCACGTCTTCAGGTACTAGACAACTGTAAATGAGAAAACATTCACCCAATGAAACATCATTAAATATCTGTTTAACCTTATCTTTGCAGATAATCAGAGTAAGAACTGATTATATAGGAAATCTACTCAAAGTCAAACGTACAAGTTTATCAACCATGGCTTTCTCCTTATCCTTTATTTAAAATGAAAAATAAATTTTGCCGTAAAACTCCTTCGCCTCCAAATTCCAGAGTCCCTGAGTCACATTTGTTAATTGGAGGAAAAAATTAAACATCATCATTATATATACATGAGTATCATTGACGAATTTATAATATATCTTTACCTTAGTTTTTATTTTTTGTTTCAGAGTTGTATTTATCTGTCAATTTTGAGCCTCGAAGTTTACCAAATGAGTCCACTCCAGCTTTATACGATGCCGTTGTCATAGTGTGATCATTTGAAGATTTTGATAACCGTAGGAAGCTTCCGAAAAAGAACTTGGCCGTCAGTTATACGAGAAGTTCGGAAAACAACAGCGTCTATTTTAAGCTTAATCCCTCTCCAATTTGATACCTATGGAGCAACGAGAGAGCGCCTTTTTTTTGTCTCTTTTTCTTTGAATGCAACTTGCTATTTTAAGTGTGAGTGATTATAGTAGTATGTTTTTTTTATTCTGAATGTAGAATTTGAGAAAGAAAATTATAATCTTCATGACCATATGCTTGGCTGTAATTCAAATAGATTTGTTGTAGAGGTATGTACATAAGAAAAATGACGGAAAATTAATTCTGGAAAGAAAATGTATATTATTTTTTAGGAATGAAGTGTGCAATCGAAAGACTGGCACACAAATTATTATATGAGCCTGAATTTCGGTGCAATCCCTGTTTAAAACGTGTATGAACAATGTTGAGAACTTTCGTGTAAGTTCTTTAATCTGTTCTTGTTATATAATTTCTACATCTTTCGCAAGTCTAATAGTGAGACATGATGTGTTAATTTTTTCGAGTATTATAGTTTGTGTCGAACAGAATCGAAACACATTAGATGAATAAATACTATTTTTTCCTTAATGATTACTCACTTATCAACGACAAATAACATTTTGGACAACCATATTTGATTGTGGGAAAAAAAGCTTCTTTACTTTTAAAAATGAGTTTATATGCATATATTGACGACTTTATTTAACTTTTACTGCAAGTTTTAATAGAGTACAACTCAAATTAATAAGGTCATACGTACAAAATCCAGAGTAAGAAGAGGGAATTTCCATAAGAGCAGGAATGACGATGACACTTTTAAGACATACGTTAAAGTATTAACTTAAATTTAAAATGCTTGGAACTAAATTATTGTGGAGATTAGTATTCAATATTAGAAACACATAACGTACATGAAAGTCAACCATATATTATTATTTGTATACACTGATATATTACTAAAAAGGATTATTTTGTCCTAAACTGATTGTTACAAAAAAGTGGTACAACAAACGGGCACATTTATTAAAATTCACATATAGCTTGAAAACTTGTATTTTCAGGAAGATACAGAAAAATGACGCAAAGCAATATCATCATTAAAACAGATACCGAATATCATCATTAAAACAGATACCGAATATCATCATTAAAACAGTTACCGAATATCATCATTAAAACAGATACCGAATGTCATCAGTAAAACAGATACTGAATATCATCAGTAAAACAGATACCAATATCATCAGTAAAACAGATACCGAATATCATCAGTAAAACAGATACCGAATGTCATCAGTAAAACAGATACCGAATATCATCAGTAAAACAGATACCGAATATCATCAGTAAAACAGATACCGAATATCATCAGTAAAACAGTTACCGAATATCATCATTAAAACAGATACCGAATGTCATCAGTAAAATAGATACCGAATATCATCAGTAAAACAGTTACCGAATATCATCATTTTTCGTCAATTACTCTGGTTGAAAAAGTTAACGAAGTGGTTTAATTTGTGTCTTTTCAATTTGTTTAACTTTCGAATAATTAAACACACAATATATACATTAAAAATATATTGGAAGCAAGTTAGCGTATTACCACACACTTTAGACACAGTAAAGATTTGAACCCATCTTGAAAAGGAAACAAAAATTGATCGACTTACTTTTGAGTAAAGAAAATAGGAGGGTGCACCACATTGTTTACTGGTGCGAAACTAGTAGCACTAAAATAATTATTGTTGAATTTGCCACATAAGATATTGGACTAACATGTCACTCAGAGCATTCGGCTCGCAATTGGCAAATCATTGGATCGAAAGTTGGTACCGAACATGCTCGCCCTTTCAGCTGTTGTGGCGTTATGAAGTGTCAGTTAATCCCATTATTTGTTCGAAAAGAGTAGTCCAATAGTTGGTGGTGGGTGTTGCTGACCATTGTAATCCATGTGATCGACAAATAACAGTTAGGAATAATTGCAGATAGCATTAGTAGCTTTGCCATAAACAAAAACAAGATTTGTTTTTAATACTGAAATTTTAATTTAAACTGTAATTTCATTGTTAGAAATATGGGACATATATAATAACTTCATGCAGGAATAATTTATTGTTTCGATTAATAGGTTAAACAAGTGCAATAGTCAAAGGGAAAAAACGTGTAATTATGATCATTGGTAGAAATATGTGGACATATATAATAACTTCACGCAGGAATAATTTATTGTTTCGATTAATAGGTTAAACAAGTGCAATAGTCAAAGGGAAAAAAACGTGTAATTATGATCATTGTTAGAAATATGTGGACATATATAATAATTTCACGCAGGAATAATTTATTGTTTCGATTAATAGGTTAAACAAGTGCAATAGTCAAAGGGAAAAAAACGTGTAATTATGATCATTGTTAGAAATATGTGGACATATATAATAATTTCACGCAGG